AATATATTTCCTAGAAAACATGCATCGAATATTTGCCCTTTTACTCCTTTGGTAGAAAACTACGTCTTCTTCAAGTCTTATGCTTGAGGGACGGACATGATTCGGCTTTAAAAAACGCTTCCAATTCCCGAATACCTTTGAACCCGACCGGCCGTTAGACTTGCGTTCAGGGTTTCCAAACTGCAAACTGCATATTTTCCGTGTACTGAAACCCAGTATCTTTACACGTTATTAAGAGGAAGCCATATGACGTTGATCTAATTTTGCAGTGGATTTGGACCATAGAAGCAGCATTAGTAAATGTAGAGACATGACGTTTTGTGAACGGCCATCTCACGATTTTAAAAAATCTCATAATTAGACATTTTTTTAATCCGAATCATACCCTTCCGTCAAGTATAAAACTTGAAGAAGACGTAATTATCTATTAAATCAGAAAAAGAATGAATATTTTGCGCATGTTTTCTATTAAATATATTTGAATTTTTGGGGGCATCGAAGATCAATTAGAAAAGTTAATGCTACTTAAGTAGCCCTTTTTAACAGAGCGTAGTTCTCACAGGCGACCAAAAAGAAGTTCTTCCAAAAGCCGGCCTTCCAATTATGCTGCACTGGGATTAATATTACAACCCTACTCAAGTAATCTCCTCGAGTCAAAAACGCATTTCATAACTTCGTTTAACATCTCATGGGTTAGCACATCTACTTTATGTGTACGGACCAAAATAACTCTATTCCCTGGCATTCGACTTGCAAATCTCCTGGCTGTTAACTACTACATCCCCTCCCCCCTCCCCAAGGTCAGCATCGATTCCCACTTGAGGAAATCCGTTGTTGACTGCCTTGCAGTTTGTAGATGGGCCGTTGAGGACGCCTCTTGAGTGCATGGCTCAGCTCACCGATAGCAGGATCGTAGCGCAGTACTCCCGACCTACGGGCCGTAGACTGCTTTGATATGCACAGAGCGATTCTTCATCTTACAGCGGTCCGTGTGTCGCCTTGAAGGTCATCCGCATTGCGAGTTAGACAGCCATTTGTCACTTCTCAAGGACACGCGAGCTCAGACGGATCAGCAAGTGCCTGATGCATTAAATACCATAGTTTTGCGGTCAATTAATGCAGAACGTCTGTCAGATGACTAATGACTGGCTACGGACCGGTCATGCGGTGGAGGGGCGCCCACCGTCACATCTGTCATACGCACCCCCCGCCGCCCCCCGGCCCCCTGAAGATGGCCGCAAATTCGCTTTTGATGGACTGCTAACAAAACCGCTCTAGGAGCCAGCGCCAGCTCAGTTTCCTTCCCTTGCGTTTGTGAAACCAACCACTTTCAACCCGAGAACTAGGAATGATGGAAGCAAGTCGACGGGGGGGGGGGGGGTTGGGTATTTGTTAGATTTGAGCTTTTTATATGCCTGATGTCGTTCTTGGGAAGAAGCATGAAATGCAAAGTGAATATACCATACATCCTAAAGATGGAACTAACTCCCTGCATGTATATAAATATGTAGTGATGCAGAAGGGAGTGCCGAGAAACACAAGGAGACCAGGCCGGCCGTTTCGGACCTACTAGTCGTCATCAGCCAGTCCTGCCTGCAGGACTCGTCCGCTTTTGTCCTCGGACAGTATCAAGTCCAATGCTCTACCATTGTGCCAGGGGTGATTCATCTTCTCGGTTGCGGTGAAAATTATGTGAAGAGTGAGTTTACAGATCAGGAAGAATTACTTAGATATCGTTACAATATTGACTGTCAAGCGGCATAATCCTATAAGGTTTCGGACTCGCCAGGATGTCGGCTTTTGAATGCATTTCCTTTTAACCTCCTAAAGAAACCGTACTTGGTGCATACATTTTTCACATTTATTTTCGATAGTCTTATAAATTCAAGTATTTTATAGAAAACGTGCATAAAAATATGCTTTCTTTTGCTCGTTCGGTAGAAAATCACGCTGTCATTGCATTTTATATCCGAAGAAAGGGAATATTTAGGTTTTGAAAAAGTTACCTAGTCCCCGAATAATTTTGAGCCTGATTAGCCACTTCAATAGCGTTTAGCGATTTCAGTCTACAAGATGCATGCTTTCCGCGTAAGGGGGATCATTTCGGACTCTGTGCCTTTAAAAAGGTAACATATACAGTTCATAAAATTTTGCCATGGATGCGGACTTTGTTGTACATTCCATAAGGAGCACTGGCAAACGGACAGGTACGATGCTGCCTGAATAGACATTGCGCGGTCTTAAAAAAGCTCGTAATTAGAAACTTTTTAAAGACGAAAGATATATTTTCTTTGAGTAAAAGATGTGGAGATGACGTGATATTCTACCCAACGAGTAAAAAAGCATATTTTTTGCATGTTTTCTATCAGATATATTTGAATTTATGAGACCATCGAAAGTCAGCGTGAAAAAGATAACTTACTTAAGTGGTCGTTTATTACCGAGTGCGGTTTCTACAGGAGGTCGAAAAAAAGTGCACTCAAAAGCCGAAATCATAGCAAGTCCGAAATAGCATAGGATTATGCCACATGGTAATCAGTATTGCAACCCCACCCAAGCAATCCTTCCTAATCGAAAACGCATTTCAGAATTTCGGCCATCACCTCATGATATCGGTCACTCACTGAGGGTAAATTATTTGGATTCAGAGAAAGTACGGACGGCGATAAAGGTAGGCGAAACCGCGTTGTTTCCGGTCTTATTCCGACAACCATGCGGAACTAGAGACACACACTAGGAACTTGTTTTCATCGGAAGCCAGTGGTTTTATTTGTGCCTAAGTCCCTGTTCTGGTGTTATGGTGTGGTAATGTCATTATCGGTGGCATTAACGCATTTGTCCCTGAAACGGGCCACGCAGTAGGTGAGCTGGATCAACATGGGGGTAGGAGGGAGTCCGTCAGGAATTATGAGGAGTGTGCACCCATAACAAATGCCAACATTCGCAGTGTGGCAGTAGGCGCACGTCGCGCCAGTTAGGATCCGTTCCATCTCCCCCCCCCCATTTGCCTGGTGTATAAAATCCTGGCTAGTGTACTTTGTGGACTAGGGGGTGTGATGGTGCGCCTAGGTGCGTGTTTACGCCGTGCCGGCCACCTGCACCCATCTCCCACCTCCGGTCTTCTTGACACCGGGCCCAAGTGGGGGGGGGGCGGGGGAAGGAGTGTGGCAGATGCCGTGCAAGTCTGCTATCGACCTAAACAAACTTACGCTTAGGTCACCGACCGTGCCCACACCCGGTTGGGGAGCACATGGTGGACGTAGCTGGTCACGATGATCGAACTGTCATTGTGGTGTCAGCTGAAGGCGTGTGAAGATTGTGGTGATCACAGAATATAACACTGCGGCTACCGCAGCCTGATTTACACCTGGCAAATTATCTCTCCGGAAGGAGATTCACAGTGCAAATTCAGCGGAAGCGTTACATTGCAAGCGAAAAATGAAATTCCACTGGAACATCCGTGGGTGCATGTCGAGAGGTCGGCGAAGTAAACCCCCCTAGCATCAAATGACAGCTATTCTTACTTCCTTTGAGTCTACTGGCGTGCCTTTGGCATGATAGAAGCGAAGAGACAAGCCCCAGGAAGCAGTCGCGAATAAATAGACAGTCGCTGGAACAAGAGCTTTATTCGCCTGACGTTTCGGATTCCTGTTCGAACCCATCATCAGAGACAATGGCAGATGCGGGTGGTTCATGCACAAGGGGCTGCATTAGTTATAGGATTCATTCGCACGCTACCGCATACCTATGAAAATGCACGGCTTCCCTCGCCCCCTTCATCAAGGATTGTTGGACTCGGTGTATGATGACTGTTCAATGGTCGACATTAGAGTCGTTACTCATTGCAATTTCATCACGGGTGTTGGATGTTGGTGTGGTGATTGGTCGACCAACTGATCCACCGACCCTGGAGTTGGGAAAAGTGTTCACCTGTGCTCTCCCCGCGCTAACACTCAAGTTGCGACTCTTTCGACGAGATCCGGCCACGCATTCAAATTCGATGAGGCCGAAATTCTCGCTAGAGGTGACAAACGCGTGAGCCGCAAGCTGCTCGAGTCATGGTTCACTGGCCCCCAGTCTATTAAATACTACAGCCCCTTGTGCATGAACCAACCGCATCTACTATTGTCTCTGACGATGGGTTCGAGCAGGAATCCGAAACGTCTTGTCCCACAGATATTGTCTCCTTCTTCACGATTGAATGTTGAATTAAATTTAAGGCCACGCAGGGGTGACGTTTACCGATTTGGCCTGACTGCAAGGCCACTTTGAGGTCTTTCGTTCCACCTTGGATTTTTGATAGGCGGTCATACAACAGGGAGCAGCTAATAGTTCAAACGATTTCCTAAGGAAGGCAGGGGATGATGAAATGGCCATTTCTGGTTTATTTATCATCATCATTTAGAAGTTCGAAAGGTAATACCGTGGGGGAAAGCTTGATCTTCTCATTAATACCCCAGGACCGAAGAGCCCTCGCAGAGACTCAACCGTCTTCCATCGAGCTGAAGACTCGTAACGCTTCCAAGAACGCCTAGGCAGCGAAAAAAGACCAATCAGACTAAAAGACGACTAGCACGGCAGTCATTTGCATTTCTGTTCGGTTTTATCTCATTTGACGCTTTGACTACGGTAAACCGACTAAGCTCTCCGAAACGTCATCAGTTCAATGAATCAGCTCCGGTGAGCCGTTTCCTCGCCCTGGACTTATCAGTCCTGAACTCTCAGCTTTGCCAAACCAAAGGAAACTTGCTCAACCCATACGGACCCGCATTCGAGCTTGTTTATATGTGTTTGAATGGTTTATCGGGCATTTTTATGAGGACAATTTCAATAAGTGTTTAATGTCACCCTGGTGAATCATTCGGTCGCTATTGAAAGTTCGTAAATCTGGACAAATTGAAATGTTTTATTAGCATATACATGTAGGCAGGTAATTATCAAAAGTCTCTTATTATAGAATATTTTGGAGCTGGAACGCCCGCGCTTCCAGGTGATGATCT